AGTAAAGAAACCCAGTTTTGAGTTATGGCGGCCATTGTCTGACGTCACTGTGAAAAGGGTCTATTCCAGGCTGAAACGAACTCTGATGACGAATGAACTCAAGATTTTTACGTCACCAGTTAGACAAACCCGTAAAAAACGGAAATATTCTGATCCAAACTGACTTTTAATTTGTTAAACTAATGTTGGATCTATTCTGTTTTTGTTCTGTTTGAAGTTTTATCTTCTGTGTGAAGCATTTTGTTAACGTTTCTATAAGTAGATAAAGTTTACTTCTTACTTTTCTATAGGGTGCTGTTGGGGGAAATTAGCCAATCAGGGGCTGATGTCTGTGTCTCCGGGCAGATTTTCCTCCGTGACGCTGCTGAAGGTGAGTTCAGCGGCGCTGCAGCGCCACCTCCAGGCGCCACCGCCGTCTCCGGGTCAGAACCAGGAGTCAAGAGGGAACCAGCAGCCGGACCAACGTTTCCTCAAGGCGCTGCTGATCTCAGAGCTCAGGTTTAATCTTTCCTGAGTGTAAAATGATCCCTCAGGTTCTGGCTCGGTTCTGAATGTTTCTGGTGTCGTTTGAGGGAGCGTGGAGGTTGAACCGGGCCTAACATAAGACTAACCTGCTGATCTGACAGAAAAGTTTTTATAAAACAAAAACAATAACCAGAGAGCAAAACTCTGAAATATGAAGTGAAATCCAGGATTTGTGGATGTTCAAAGGACATCAATGAATCCAGAGTCCAGGAGGAACATGGGCTGTTTTAGCTAACATTTAAGCGCCTGCAGCCAGGCGCCGAGGCCAGCGCTCATCACACCCACAGGAAGCCGGAGAGACGCGTCAGCAGGACCGACACGGCGACACGGACTGCCATGAAAAATTCAGCCCGTCCGATAAATAATAAAAGTCAACTGAAAGCAATCTTTTCCTTCTGAAACGTCTGACAGGTTGTTAGCCAGAGGCGCGCGCACACACACACACACACACACACACCAAACAGTTTATGGTCAGAACTCCCAGCAGAGCAGAAAGCACTTAGAAGTTGACATGCAATCATCCTTTCTTCCATTCGTCAAATATATGAAGCCAAATATTTAGTTTTTTGGAAGCTAGATTTTATATTTAGCTCCAAATGTAATGTGTTTTTAGCTAGCTAAATATTTAGTTAGCAAGTTAAACATTTAGCTAGCTAACTAAATATTTAACCTGTTAGTGAAATATTTAGATTAAAGCTACAGATTTAGATTACCAACTCAATATTTTGCTGACATTAAATGTTTATTGTTTTAAATATTTATAAATTGTTATTGTTGAGCTAAATAACAATTATTTATCTTATAAGCTAAATATTTAGCTAACCAGCTAAATATTTAGCTTGTATTTAGTTAAGATAGATATTTAGCATAAGCAAACATTTCATTAACAAGTTAATAAACAAAAAGTAAATAAGCTTAATAAAAAGCTAAATATTTTTATTTAACTTCAAAACTAGTATTGTATTAGCAAGCTTAATATTTAATTAACAAGTAAAGTATTAAGCTACCTCACTATGTATTGAGATTGAAGCTAAATATTTAACTTGCTAACTAAATATTAGCAAGCTAATAAATAAAAAGTAAATTATATTGCTATCAAGCTAGATGTTATATTTAGCTTCAAACTAAATATTTAGTTTGAAACTGACATTATAAATCAATGACTAACACGGTGAAAACATGACTTACTGTCAGTGAAGTTGTTCCCTCATTTCTCTTCATAACCAGTCGTCCATGATGCCATGTTGTGTTGATATTTCCAGTGTGATTTAAAGTTTTGTGCAGCTTCAGATTTTAGTTGGTGTGAATTTATTTTTGATCTCTGGTCTAAGTCAGAGCATCTTAATGAGCCTCAGCCATCGCTGTGCCACATGGTTCACATCCAGCCGTTTGTTTCATTTAACCGTCTGAGTCCAGCAGGAACTTGACCATCGAACTGGCCGCCTGGCTCTTGAAGGAGAGCGTCTCTTAAAGTCATTAATCGTGGTTCTGGGACGGTGAGGATGTGAGTAACAGAACGCAGCAGCAGCTTTGACTTCATGTCACTTCAGCGTATTTGCTGTCAGAGTCGCTCAGCGTCTCTGCAGCACATCTGCTATTCCTGTCTGCTCGTCTGTCTCCTCACATCTCTGTCTCCGTCCGCCGGCCTCCATCTTTACCTCATCTGGCTCTGCACTCATCATTCTGCTGTTACTAATTAAACTGAAACACCAGAACCAACCAGCAGGTTACCGAGCTGCAGGTTCATTACAGGACTCAGACGAATGTGTCGGCTCGTCGCCACGGTGTCCAAAACCTCCCGACTGCAGTGAACGCATCACAGTTTTCTTTGGAGGACCAAAGGTCAGACACAGGAAGAGGCTGTGGTCAGTTTTCAAAATAAAACACTCCAGGTACCAGTGAGGTTCTGTTTGGCTGCTGGAGCTGAACAGACTCTGACTTCGGGTTCGGTTAACGGCTCAGGAAAGTTCAGAGTCGAGTTCCTGATGGAGTCGGAGCGGATGTAGAGAATCTGACCGAGCCCAGCGACCTGGACCACCGGTGGTACCATGCCGGGTCCGCAGACCGCCTGGTACCACCTCGCTTCCTGGCCTCCGAGTCGCTCTGACCAGCAGGACTGAATCCGTCAGAGCTTCAGCCACCGTTGTTACTCACACGGCCTCAATCCCATCCGTTCATGAAAGACCAGAGGCCTTTCAGGTCATGTGACTTGGAATCAAGTCACGTAAATCTGAAATTAAATCGATTTCATTTTGTGCCTCGGCGTTCCGGATGAAGAACCTGGATGCTAACACGTTCCAGAGCCGTTTCGGCTCCACCAGGAGCAGGCCTGGGGTCGGTTTCCTGGTTGCCCCTGGCGACAGATAGCAAGGCTGCATAGCAACATATGAACCTGTGATGAAATGACCTTTGACCTTCTGGATTCTTGGCACACTGCCAGCTGCTTCCCCAATGCATCCCACACTCCAGCCCACTTTGACAGCTTTAGAAAACAGATTTTTCTATAATATGTGGGATTCGGTGCAGGCAGGAGCTGCTTGGCGTTGTGGGACGCTCCGTCATGAAAAAGGACTTCAGTTAAGCAGCCTTATGCCACACAGTTTGACTGAACTCTGGTTTACCGTTTCATCGCTGACGTTTCTGACCAGACGCTCGTTTTTCTTAAAAAGTTGCAAACTTTTTATATATTTTGCTGCCATCAGTTTCCAGATGTTTCCTCTATTCCTTCTCTGCGTCTGTCTGGGTTTTTCTACTTTCCATCTTTTAAACTCCACAGACCGAGAACGACGGCAAAGAGCGTCTGTAAAACACGTAAAGCTGCCAGTGGAGGCGTGTTGTGACTTTATGCTGCTCTGGTAAGAAACATAATCTATCTTCATGTTTATGTAGCCAACAGACTGAGACGATGCAGCTGATCCAGTGGGACGAAGTACACACTGCAAACTGGCCTGATTAAATAATAATAACAATCATCATCATCATCATCAGCCTTGTGGCCTGAATGTGAGATTCGTCCAGAACCTTCAGGTTAGCCGATCAGACCTGCATCCAGAAGATAAGGAGAAGGAAATGGATTTTGGTTTCTGTTTCCGTGCAGAGAAGATAGTGAAACTGAAGTTTCATTATCTTCAGTTTAAACTTCAGTTTCTGAAGCGTAAACGTCAGAAACTCTGGCTAACAGCTCTGGGCCTCGGCGCCCTGAAAGCTGCCGGTCATAAATAAAGAAAGAATCACATTAATTAGCAGAACGCTGCGACACGACCCACCGTCAGTCTGGAAACACGCTGCACATTAAAAAACTCAGACTTATTCATGTCGTTCTGTCAACAAGCTGCTAAGTGCAAAAAGCTTTTCGGGGCCCGACAGGGAAAACGTCCCGCCGACGCGCCTCGGCTTCCTGTCACTCACCATGGTGGTCTCAGCGATGGAGCCGAAGCTGTTGATGAAGATGTTGCAGGAGACGTTGACCGGAGGACCTGAGGAGGAAACCGGCATTACAGCAGCAGATCTGGAGCTTTGCTCATCCAACATGCATCCAACTCTGAGACTGAACCGTTTCCAGGAGGGAAAGTTGGAGCTTCAGGAAACGATTCCAGAAATCTTAAAGAAAAGGATTTTATAGTTAATGTTTACATGAAGGACGTCAGCCGATGCTGGGCTTTTTTCTTTTTAACTTTGATTCTAAATGACCAAAAAGAAGAAAAGTTTGGTCTGATTTAACTTCAGACAATGAGAAAACATGTTTGTATTATTATTTGGTGTATAATATTGGTAAATATCAGCCATAACAGCAAACTTATCAATAAATTATAATATTAATGTATTGATAGCTTAGGCCAGCCCCGGAATTATTTAATTTTATTTTGTTTTACTTAATTGGGTGAGATTATTTCATAAGTCTTTTAAAGAAATAAATATAGAAACCAGGGCAGGAACGCCGCTGATTGGCTGAATCAATAAAACATCTGGAAAAGTTTGAAGCAGCGATGCGGCGTGAGGATGAGAACAGAACCGGTTCAGATACCTTTAAAGTTCGGTCGGATCCGAGCGTCGTATCCCGACGTTCTTCCCATCAGTTTGTCCAGGAAGTCGGAGGGAGACATGGGAGCGTGGCGCGTCCTGGCGGCGCCGTCCAGCTCCTTACAGCGGCTCACGCTGCAGACAGAGGAAGAACGGCTTTCACAGCGGCACAGCGCCCCCTGGATGCAGCGGTGAGGTTTACACCGGGTTTTACAGGTGGAAGTTCATTCAGAACAACTTAGATTTGGAAAGTAAGAGGAATCCTCATCAGAGAGCTAAGCTAACGGCTAGAAGCTGAGCTAAGGGCTAGTAGGTGAGCTAAGGGCTAGTAGGTGAGCTAACGGCTAGGAGCTGAAGTAAAGGCTAGGAGCTAATGGCTAGGAGGAGTGCTAATGGCTAGGAGCTGAACTAAAGGCTAGGAGCAGCGCTAATGGCTAGGAGCAGCGCTAATGGCTAGGAGCAGTGCTAACGACTAGGAGCAGTGCTAACGGCTAGGAGCAGCACTAATGGCTAGGAGCAGAACCTAGCCGTTAGCTCAGCAAGCCAGGGTTGGCTGAGCTAATGGCTAGGAGCTGAGCTAACAACGAGGAGCAAAGCTAACAACTGTGAATGAAGCTAACAGCTACGAGCAGCAGCCAATCAGGAAGGAGTGATGAGTCAGCTCTAATCTTTCAGTTCACTCATCATCATCATCATCAGATCCTGGGATCTGAGCTCCTCCTTCTCTCTTATCCAGCCCTTAATAATCAGAGCTCTGATTGGTCCAGCTGTCCCAGCAGAACCCTCCGGTACCAGGCTGCCGGTCCAGCTGGTTCTGGAGGCTCCATCAGGACAACAGGAAGCAGATCCTCCAGTTTTCAGCGCCACAAAAACAGAGATTTAGATTTTAAAAATCACAAAAATAATCAGAGAGAATTATGATCCCAACAGGTTGCCACGGTGACATCACAGTGCGTGTCGACCAACCAGAACCATTGATGTCGAGTTCATGATCAGGTCCCCAGACCACCGACCGCTGCTGACATTCAACACACACACACACACACACACACACACACACACACACACACACACACACACACACACACACACGTCCTGGGAGACGGTAGATCTCTAAATGCCACAGTAAAGCTTGATGATCCTGAAACTCCATCGCTCCGTTTGTCATCCGGGACGAGCAGAACCAGAACCTCCAGATTAACCTGCCAGCGACAGCGGCGCTGCTTCATCCTCCCGCTTCATCCTCACTCTTCATCGTCCGTTCCTCTGCTTCGCTCCATCAGTGATTATTCTCACGCTGCTCAGAAGCAAAACTCAGAACCGAATCGAGACGCTGAGGACCGACAGCTGCCTTAAAGTCAGAGGTCAGAGCAGAACATGTTCACCTCAGCTCTTTAACGCTGTAATATCCAGGCTGCTGGAACTACGGCAGCCTGGAGGGACAAGCACAAGAAAAAAAACTTAGCTATTATACCCAATAAGAACCTGTTTCACTGCTTCCTAAATTCCACTTTTTCCATTTTAACCATATGTATCACCCTAGAAGTTACTGATTATGGTGAACGAAAAGACTGAACAAATCAGAGGTAAACATTTCCTTTTATTGTGTTTCATAACTATAACAATCTGCTGTGGAACATTAATGGTTTCACAAGATGTTAAAAAGTGTTTCCCTGTTTCCTTCACCAAAAATTATCTACCGTATTTCTCGGACTATAAATCGTTACTTTTTTCCTCGCTTTGAACCAAAGCCGGTGGGCTTTTCCGTGGCTTTTTCTTCAACCACCAGGGGGCTCTGTAGCAGGAAGTGAATCATTGGAAGTCAGAATTGGAAATCAAAGAAGAACGCGCTGATTTTCATTTAGAACAACCACATGCTAGCAGCAGGCACGGCGGAGAAATGTTTTCAAACTCAAACACCCTCATCATGGAAACATGAAGAAGTTCATATGATGCAGCTTTTAGGTTGAAGGCTGAAGATCTGGGAGGACAGGAGGGACACGGAGCCGAGCAGGTCAGCTCGGCGGAGGGCTGCGTCTTTAACCCTTGTGCGTGCGAGGACTGAGGCAAACGTAGAGGAGGACTACGGCAAATTATACAAGTTTTACGTGTGTGGGGTCGGTCGGTCCCCATTTCTGCATACAAGGGTAAATGAATCCAGCAGTTCTCTTTCATAGCATCTGCTTCGTGTCTCACAATGGGAAGGCCTCTGGCGTAACCGCATCAGAAGCTCCTATTGCATGGCGCCAGCCAGGGTTGGCTGGGGATGAGCCAGCCAGCGTCAGAGGGCTGACGCTGAGCAGACATTTTATTCAAAAACCTTTAACAGTTCCAACCAGTTCTCGTGTAAATACTGACGTTATTGTGAGCCAAGCTAAACGCCAGCTCGGTCGCCGGGCGCTTGGCCTGGGATTTCTGTTGGTATCACAGCCAGTATCTTCTCTGGTAGAAATACAAAAAAAAAAAAGCCGACTCACCATAAGGTTATTCGTTGGCAGTTGAAGGGTAGCAATACTCCCGCCATAAACTACCCACTGGGAAGCCGCAGAGCTCCCACTCCATAGTCTAACCAGAACCGGTTAGCTTAGCTGTCGCCAGCTCTTTTTCTTTTTAGTAGCTTTACGGCCATCCCATCTCCATCACCGTCAGGTCATCTAGTAACGTGGAGAAGAGCCCACAGGCTCACCTGCCCGTGCGGCAACAACATTTCAAGCTGGGACACACACCCGTCGTGCCTGGTGTGTCTCGGGCCGAAACATGTCCAAGCAGCCTTTGACTCTGGGGAGACCTGCAGGTTCTCTGTCAAAGTGCTTCGTCACCGTCTGGCCCGTCAGACGACATTGTCCAGCAGCGACCCGCTTATGGCATCTGCAGCATCTTTGCAGGAACCGGCCTACCAAATAATTTCGCTGACCACTGATGCGGAAGCCGGGACGAGCTGGGCCGAAATCCTCGACTCCGTGGACCCGCTGCCATCTGGGGTCCCCGAGCTCGGCCTCGAGTCTTGCTCGCTCAGTTCCCGGCAACGGGAGACTGCGAGTTTTCCAATAGTGAGTCGGAACTGCCTTTCTCGGATAACAATGAGGATTATGACCCATCTCCTCTGCTGTCGGGTCGGGTTGCAAAACCCGCGCCGCCTGGCGCAGGCCAACCCGGCCATGAAGGCTCATCCCCGCTGGAACTGGACTTTGACTTGCACGACGTGTGCAAACGCACCGCTGCAAAGCTTGACATCCAGTGGTCCGAGGTTCAAGCCGAGGTAGTTCGCTCCTGCTTCGACGGAAAAAAGCTGCCAGAAGCATGGAAAACAGGCAGATAGCTCCTGCCAGTTTCTCCGGAGCTGCGGGAAGAACTCGCTGTCTCCGGGCGCAATAAGCCCTTCAAGGAGAAGCACCCAGTGGCTGGCAGTTCGGTGCTGGACTGTGACGGTATGGAGAAGTGCGGTCTCCGTCGCAGTTGCGGCTCATCTGCTATCTTGGGCACAAGGACAAATTTTTCATCCCCACCCAGAAAGGCTGGCTCCAAGCTAACTGCAGCTAACTAGCTTTAAGCTAACTGCAGCAAGCTGGCTTCTTCTCTATGTTTCTGAGTAGTTGTTGTATTCTTGTTTCCAGTTAAATGTTTGCTGACAAAACGGACAGAAAAGTTTTGTCCTCCTAAGCTTCATGTTTTTTAATGGGAAGACGTCTGTTTTTCAGAAAGCAGAGCACAAACTAAGCAGATATTTCTGTGAAACTCTGCGTTTTGTTGTGGATTAGACTTTGTTAAATTCAGCGAATCATATGGTTCTATGAAAGTTAATTGCTTCACTGTAGCTCCTCGTCAACCTGGGAGGGGTCAAAGGTCACCTGGAGTCCATCAGAGGAAGATGATGCCCAAGTGGACAAACAGAAATGGAGTAGCTTCAGCTCTTCGGCAGTTCTCCAGGCTGGATTTCCCATCAGGACGCCATGCGTCTCATCATAAACCGGACCGGACAGAACCAGAACCAGGAGCAGAAGGAGAAACGTGGATTTCCTTCTGGCTGTTCTGTCTGCAGGAATCCGTCTCTGAGGAAGATGAGTAAAACTCTTCATCATGTAACTAACATCCTGTCTCACATGATGGGTCGACGACAGACGACCCAGTGCTGCAGAACCGCCGCCTCCTCAGTGATGGGTCTGATGACTCAGAGTTCATCTCAGGGTCAGAGGTCACATGACGAGAGCCAGGACCGGAACCGGGCATTGAAACGACGCCGGGGGGCTTTCTACATGAAGCTAAAAAAGTCTTTTTATTATGAATTAAGTAAATAGATAAACATCCACAGGAGGAAGGACACTCTTCCTCCTCTTCATCACCTCCAGATGTTTGACGAAGAGCGTCGCGTTAAACAAGCAGATTAATCTTGTTACTTAATTTGTCCATTTTAGCGCCGTTTATCCTCCGTCTCTGAACGCTTCACAGCAACATCCAGCTGAGATGTCAGATTACTGCATGCTGGATGCTAAGCTGCTTAGCTCGCCCTCCTCTTCTCCTCTTCCTCCCGTCCTGACCTTTCAGTTCGGCTCCTTGGTTGAACAGCGGAAGCTGCATCAAGTCCTCATGTTTAATGGATGAGCTTCTCAGACACAGAGAAACCAGTTGAACTGATCAGCAGCGACACGTTAAAACACAAACGTTTGATGTGGATTTTCTGATAAAATAAAGTTTCATTCATGCTGAGGTTTAAAGATCAACGCTGGACAATCAGAAAAACGATTCTGCAGATTAACCGGAGTTCTGGTTCTCTGAAGAAGAGAATCCACCAGCATCCTTCTGCTAATGTGCTAATATCAGAGCTAATTTTAAGCTTAGCACACATGCTAACTGTGCTAACATTTAGGACAAATTGTTCCCAAAGTTAATTTTTCCAGATAAACTCTGATTTACTTGGCTGTTTTATAAACTGTCAGTTGAGTAAAGTTGAAGTTTTGATTATCGACTGATAGATTTTATACTGATGCTCTTATTTTGAAGTTGGTTAAGACAGCGGTTCTGTTTCCTAACCTGAACAGAACCGGACCCAGCAGACGGTTCTGGCTCGTTTCTGCTGCGTGAGTCCAAACAGTTTCATCGTTTCCCTGATGAGAGGAACGAACACCGATCAAATCTAA